GGTGGAGAGGGAAAGGGGAGGTAGCGACCGGCGCGGGGCTGGGGAGCAGTGAGGGGTTAACGGGGCTGGGAGGCATTGAGGTCTGTGCTTCCCAGGTGTGCAGCAGGTCACTCTTGCTGGAAGCCACCTTCCTGCCCGTTCGCCTTCACTGCTCCACAAGCTGAGGGTGGGGGAAGAGCCCAGTTGTCCTACAGCTGTGTTTGGCACGAGTGTGCCCATTGACCCCACTGAGTCACCCACCCACCTCAAACTCAAGCCAAGGCAGTCCACAACCCCACGCTCATCTCTCCTGGCAACCCCACTACCAGACCCCAAAGGCATCAGTAATGTGACAGCAGTGGCATGAAGAATGCTTTATTGGCTGCTGGCATCACTCCGCTGCTCTGACCCGTGGCAGGTTGACATAGCTCTTCATGGGCGGGAGAGGCTTGATCTTGCGCCCGGCCCAGCCACCCTTGCGATGCCACAGGCCTGTGTGTGGGCGCTTGCCCAGCCAGCGGTTCCGGCCCGCTTTCCCAATCACCCGCTTGTTGTGATCCACGTTGGACACACGGCCCACTGTAGCCACGCAGGTCTCCAGCACCTAGAGGACAGAGAAGAGCTGCAGCCCTCCCTGCGGACACAGTTGCATGCCAAGGCAGTCGAGCCAGGAGCAGCACAGCTCCTTTACCTGCATATGCCTTTTGGAAGGCAGCTGCACGATGGCTGTCCCGTTCACTTTCCTCAGCAGCACCCCACAAGTCCCTGCAGCAGGCAAGAGAGGAGGTAGCTGCCTTGAGCAGCAGGTCAAAGTATCCCACTCTGTGGCAAGCACAACCCCATGCTGGAAACTCTCCAAAGACCCTGCCATTGTACTTCATGCAGCACTTCTTGCTGAAGACAGGGCCTTGAGAAATCAACAGGACAGAGCTGTCCCTGCCTCTCTGGAGGGCTGTTTTGCACTCTTAACGGGGAGAGCAGAGGAAAGCAACTCCCTGTCACTGGCCACCCACAGCAGTGCCCCCCTGCCCTCCTCTGCATCTGTGCAGAACCAAACCACTACAAACAGTGCAAGGTCTCCTCACCAGCTGCCCGGATGTACTGTGCTCCCTTCCCAGGGTGGCTCTCCAGGTTGCAGATCAGTGTGCCGACAGGCAGAGCCCCCAGTGGGTACGCATCCCCTTCGTTGGCAGACACTGGAAGACACAAGCTGACAAGTTGGGCAAGGAGCAACTGACGAGCCCTTGGCAAGGCCAGTGCAGCTGCCCCTGGCCCTGGCATGCACCTGCCATCCTGCCAATGTGAGAGGAGTTCTTGATGATGTCCCCCGGCTGCATGTTCTCCGTGGCAACGATCCAGCGCTTGCGGTTGCCGCCAGCCACCAGGGCGATGTCAGCCGACCTGCACGGGGAGCCGGCGGTGGCTGAGCAGGGGGTCACCGCTGGCACGGCTGCCCAGGCCCCGGGCCGAGCCCGCACCCCGCACTCGCCTGCAAGGGTCGTATCGGACCTTGATGACCTTCTCGGTGAAGGGC